GTAGCAGAATGTGGGAGAATGTTTGTGGTTAGCCTACTGCTCAGTGTCTTAATTTGAGCGAATGATGGGGCTTGAAACTAAAGAGATTCTTGCCGACCACGTGGCAGTATTAATGTGTTAAAACACTCGGTGTCAAAATCTATTGTACGAGTAAGACAGATAAGCCGAAAATTTTGCAGAGATAGTAATTACTAGAAGCGCATGGGAATAATATGCAATAACTTTTCGAAATCTTATTTTATGTTGCAAGAATCATCAGGTTTTAGGAAAGAATTGAATTTGGAAAATCTAGAACATATTTTACAAGCATAAATTGTGTTTTTCAGGTAGAGACGCCGTGGTAGGCTCCAAACAAAGTCTGCTCAACACCTTACAAACATCGAATCACGATGAGAGAACGCGGGCCACGTTGCGAATAGTAGAAGAGGCGAATGAGCTGAAAAGGAAGGAGCAGGAGCTACGCAGAACGCTCGGCTACAGCGTTGCAAAGGATTTCGGACTATTGACGACCACCTCACGAAATCAGAACGACCATCGCAGAGGAGCCAGTGCTTCTCCCAGTACTTTGCCCAAGTATTATCATAGTCGAATCTCCTCCGATGGCAACAATAACGCCTTTGCATCGCAAAGGTCAGCTGAAGAATTATTTTCAAGCAAAAGAACTTCTGCACCTCGCCCAACTCTTCTCTCTCAACCCTCCCCAGTACCGAAACCAACTAACTCGATAGGGTATACGCGTGGAGCATGGAACGGCTCTCTTCACTCTTCTCTTACCTCTCTGGTGATCAATAACGAAGAAGCAATGCGGATACAGAAGCCTCCCACATATTCTCCACAACTTTCCGCAAAACCCTTTAGAACTTCTCCTCAGCTCAAAAGCAAAGTTGAGCATCCAGCTACTCCCACAGCCAAGTCAAATACACCTGTCTATGGCAGGGTGTTTTCATCGACAGCTTCAACGGAGTACGCCAACATTACCAAAACACCACCCTCTGCGGTGAATGCATTTTCTACCCAGCTTGAGGAAGAGGAAGAAAATGTTCAGACAGCTCCACAAACTCCTATTGTAGGCTCAAATATTCGTAAAGTCAAGGAGGCTGTCAAACAACAGACTTTGGGTCAGAAATCCGCCAGCAAGTTGCTGCTGCAAGGACAACGAGCCAATAACAATCAATTATCGGGTGTTCAATATGCGGGAAGATCGAATGCTTATATTAAGAAATCTGCAGAATCACCAAAGCTTGGAAGAAGCTACAATAATGTTACTGCGGATCAAGTGAGCAACTTATCCGAAGAGGAAATTAGCAACAATATCGCAAAAATACTGAAGGAAGGTCTGCCAACACTTAAAAAAATTGGAACTCCTGTGGAAAAGAACGGAGTTATGCTGGGCAAGGTGCTGGATGATGTTCGCATAGATAACTCTATGGTAAGATTTTGTGATTTGTTATAGAAAAATGACAAGATTTTCATTAGGTGCTAATACTAAGCACAAAAAACAGTCTCATCTTTCC